CCGTTAGCTACCCTAATTCTCGCGGAATTTACGCACAGACCCATGGCGGTTAAAGCTTGTTACTGATTCGAAAACTTGAATTTGCCTCGTGACTTTCGAAACACAAAATGAGGATTCCTAGCTTTTATTTGATCTTACTTTAAAAAATACGGAAGAAGATATTTTAGCCTGAGAGATTTTATAAAATCGGCAAGCATTGAACTTTATTATGAGTCATATGAGTTAGAATGAGTCAATTAAAGCCAATCTCACCTCTTGACATGTACTTTGCAAAACGTTACCCGGATATGAACTCATTCTAACAGGAATAAGCGATGATAACTGGCCAGTTTCGATTCTCAGCGAAATAAAGATATACCTAAGGTATCAACATAAATCGGAGAGGTACGGGATAGAACGAAGCGTGTGTCAATACCTCGCCCAACGTAGCAATTCAACACTAAAGGTCCTAAAGGATGAGGAGTTGTGAATGTAAAAATGGAGGAAATCCAAACAATTATGAGATATCGCAAAGTACAATTAAGTTAACAGAGAACTGAACTGAAGATGGTGTCGGTAAAACATAGTCAGACACAGACAGATTTGGAGGGAGATCAGAGACAATAGGGCCAGCAGTGCAACCTGAAAAAGTGTAGAGTAAAAAAAGGAGTAAGGGGAACAAACATGGGGAATGAGGCTGGTTGGAAAATAAGTTGCTAGATGGGGGAGAAAAAATGACTGTCTCCTCTGATTAGCCATGCACAATCACGTTCTTTTCGTAAAGCTTCTGAAGAGGTTACTTGCTTGTCTTTTCATAGCCATCTTACCTCAGATATTTTTAAATTTGATGTACCGAACATTAGTGAAGCAATTGTAGTTGCATTTTTCGCTGGGTGATACTTCCTCGTTATACCATTCCGGGTTAGCTCAATTGGTTAGAGCGCTGGACTGTTGTGCGGGAGGTCGAGGTCGATGGTTCAAGCCCCGGCCGGACCAACACTCAAGGTCTCAAAATAACTGAGGAGAATGCGCTACCTTTCTTTAATAAGAAATGGATAGACATTCTAGTCTTCTCGGATAAGGACGAATAAACTGTAGGTCCCGTCTCCTGCATCTATTAATTAGATAATTTGGTTAGGCAGGTGACCTTAAAGAACCCAGTCACTGTGATGTGGTCTGGCCTGTTTACTGGGAATTGGGGGGAGGGGGCATCTTCAAATAAGTTTCCTTCGATTGTTTGTAAACTG